ACACACACATGCACAAAAAAACCTAAAGTGTACCGGCCGGTGGGTATGTTTGTTGTTGTTGTTTTCAAATCCCTTTAGCTGCGAGCATTTCGCTCTTGGCAGCGCAATGCCTCCCTCAAGTAACCACATGTCCTTTCCTTGTCACCAATCGGTATAAAATTGAATGTTTTTCTGTCCATCCGTCTGTCTGTCTGTCTGTGTGTTGTAGGGGTGAAGTTCTGAGGTGGAGTGAGGTACCGATGGGAATTACAGCCGGTCAGTTCTGCAAACCACCAGCATCCCCTGCATATTATTATACATAATCAGGGTGAGGCATAATAATTTGAATTGAGGCCTGTTGTTTGGACATGTTCTTATCTGAACACGTGCTTATCATAAAAGTTCCTGGGGGGACAACTGTTAAGATCTATAAATACCTTATCAGTGAAGGAAATTCAAAGCATGGGTGGAGTGTTTAGTTTACTAAAAAGCCACAATATTTACTGCAGGTGTTGTGGTATCCAAGGTGCTGTAGAGTAATAGAAATGTTGGTTAGAGAGCTAGAACAGATCATCAAATTTATGTGAAAGTTTTTGATGACTGGTCATGAAATATATGGCAGGGTTTTTTTTTACCATCTAAAGAATACACTGTACAGATTATTTAGTTTAGAAGTTTTGATGACTTGCTTCAACGAACAACATGTTTTTTCCTTTACCAGGCAGACCCAAGGACAGCTCTGGAAAACCTTTCTGGGATATCCTCGTCATAACAACCTCAGATGCTTCACAAAAAGAAGCTTTTCAAATCCAGATTGATGAGAAAATTAAGAGACAGGAGCTGCCTCTTGATTTGCCCATTCACATCATCTCTGATCCCCCAGGAATTCGGATAGGTAGATTGAACTGTCAATTTCCTATGAGTGTCTATGTAACAGTAAAAAGCTTTGTATGGATCTCTTGTTTGAATTTATGCCTCGAATTTGACTATCTGTCAGTCCTGCAATAATGTTGAATGCTTTAACTGAGTCTGACACCTTTGGACTCCACCACGTACCAGTCCCCGTCCCCCAGTCGAACCCACAATACGCTGCTTTTCGTCTACTGCTTAATATCCACTACTGTTCACTGAGGCATGCAGTCAGTGCAGAACAGAAGGGTACTGGTACGACAGGGTTTTCAACCAAAATGTATCTGTTCTTGCTCCTCAAAAAGAAGATTCCATTAATTTTACACTTATAGCTCAAAGTAATCTCCCTCTGCAGTTTGTAATCGATATGATTTCTATGAAAAACCATTAGGTAATCATTTTTGGGAAAACTCATTAGACTCTGATAAATTAGGACTTTTTTTTCGTGAAATGATGGCATCTTGCAAGGTCATTAAGCCTTGGAAACATAAAATTCACATGATTCATGATCAGACGAGTATGGAGGATGATCTAAATATCTGCTGCCATTTTCTGAAAAGCTTTGATCTGGGCTGATTTGGGGCAGGGACATTATTATGTAGTATTATAACCACTCATGTGCCTTATTGAGGGCAGCTTTCCCTGATGCAGGCAATAAGAGTTGTGAGTATTTCTTTTTAGAAAATAAAAGTCGCTGTTATTGTATTCTTGCTCTTGGAAAGAGATTTGGAGAATCACACCTGTACTGATTTGGATCCTATAGGGCACATATAATATATGATATGATTTGTGACGTCTGATTGGTTTGGTTTATTTTTTGTCTAGGAAAGGAGGTGAGAGGTGGAGCAAGTTTGTAGATTTTAATATTATTTCAATATAGACCTAAACATACTGTTTAGAAAATGTCTTGCTTTTGGGCTATAGAAGAATGCTGTTTTTGTGATTGCTTATTCTTGAACAGACCTCATAAATGATAAAGATATAGAGTGTGCATACCACATTATTATGAGATACAGAAATTTTCTCACACTAGTGTCATGAGCAGAACTTTGACAACCACAATGTAAATTTTATCATTCTGTCAAACCACATGGGATTCAATAATGAAAATATGCAGCTACCTTAATCTTCTTTGTGAAGCACTGCTGTAGGAAATGATATCCTTTATGTGGTTTCATCGTTTTTATTCACCGCATGATCATATTCTCATAATAAAGATTCTTTTTATATAATTCTCAGGTAATGGAGGTTCCACTTTAGTTGCTCTGGAGAAACTGGAGAGCGAATATGGCTCTGAATTGTTTCAGAAAAAGATTCTTCTTATTCATGCTGGAGGATGGAGTCAAAGAATGCCTAGTTCTACTATCTTAGGAAAAGCATTTTCATTGCTACCTCATGGAAACCCACCATATCAGATGCTAGATCTGAAATTAGCACTCTACTGGCCTTTCGTAGAAAAAGTGCAGCCTGGTGTGTTCATTGCTTGTGCTGATGATTTTGTTGTGTATAGTTTGGGCAGTGATGTGGACTGGGAATGTCCTGCTAATGGATTCATAGCCCTTGCCCACCCGTCCCCCATCAGTATTGGAAGAACACATGGAGTTTATGTTTTGTCTGATGTAGATAAGATAGATACTGAGAAGAAAGTTGTCGTGAGCAATTGTCTTGAGGTGCTGCAAAAACCGAGTGACGAGAGAATGAAAACAAGAGGTGCTGTGCTGAAGGGAGATAGTCATACATTTGCCGATGGTATCTGTGTTCAAGGAGAAACTGTCTATACAGACAGTTGCTTTTATTTTGGAATGGATGTTGTCAAAAAGCTGCTCAACTTTAAAAAATCTGCAGGTGATTTGAGCTGTGAAATTGATGCCTATGGGGACTTTTTGCAAGCCGTAGGGAAAAATGCAACCAGCAGCTACATTCACAATGTTGGAAATGTAAGTCAAAAGACATCAAACTTGCTGGAGATGAGGCAAGGAGTGTTCGACTGTCTCAATGGCTCAGATATTCATGTCTTGGTACTGAATGCATCGGCTTTCATACACATTGGTACTACGAAGGAATTGTTGTACCATTTCTGCCAAGATGCGGATTTCCAAGCTCAGCTGGCCTTTGAGAAAGATGTCTTCAATGTTTGGCTGCGTGAAGAGAACAGTGACAATAATATCAAAAGATCTGACAGAAATCCTGAAAAGATCTCTGCTGATGCATGTGTCATGCACTCCGCCTTTTATTACGAGACAAGAATTGATGGTCAATGTGTTATTGATTTTTGTGATTTTGATGTGCCAGTTCACATCTCATCCAAATGTATTCTAAGCAATTGTCAGCTCAGTTTGTTAAATGAAAAGAACAGAGATGCTGAGATCAGTATTCCACCTTCTATGTTTTTCAACACTGTCCCTATAGTTGGAGCCCGCTTTGTAACTGTATACTTCAGTATAGGGGATAACTTGAAGAAATCTGTTTGTTATGAAGATATTGAGTCATTACCTTTCATGGACTCTGATGTAGGGCATTTTTTGGAAGATCAGGGATACACCATCAAGGAAATCTTACCTTCTGATGAGAAAAACAACTCTAATAGTGTCAGTGGAGCGTGTACATCTCCGGACACAAAGCATGTTGATGGAATGCACAAAGATAACAAGAAGACATATAGTCTATGGAATCTGAGGTTATACCCAGCTGCACCTTCGATGACCAGTTCTCTAGAGGAGGCTTTACAGGGACTGAGTTCACAGCCACGAAGAAAAGTCAGCAAAGCTTCAAAATCAATGCATTCAATGGCTGATCTTTTGAAAATCAAAGATGTGAAAGCCATGTTAAAGTTTCGCAGTGATCTGTTTGAAAAAATCAGGGCTAATGAATAGAGAGAATAAAGAGACTCCTCAACGGTCCTTGATTTAGTAATTTATTGAACTGCAAAGAAGGTTGGTTTTGTTATTAGGGTTTGATATCCCCTGCTTTATATTGTGTGCTCAATGACTTTCTTTCTTGTGATATCTGTAAACCACTTCAGTAAAATCATAGTGAGTAGAGACTACTCATGGCATTTTGTTACAAAACCTTTCAAATACAAATTTAGAGAAGTTTGTATTAAAAACCACTGCAAGCTATTTTATAATGATAACTCTCAATGATAACTCTCTCTGATATTTATTTTTTTGGTGAAAGTTGTTTACAATATTCAGATAAATTTTTGCGACATATTCTTCATATTATGTATGTACTGCTTTCATTTTATTATCCATGGCAGCTCATGCTCAAAGACTGCTGAGAAACTGCTTTAACTCTTTCCTGTTTACATTCTTTGCCTGTAATGACTGCCTGTATTTGTTCAACTCTCAGTACACATAAAACTTTCTAAACGCCAAGACAGACCAATGACACTGGCTCTGATACACTTTTTTTTCCTACTAAAAATGAAATTGAAGATAAATAATCAAATGTCAGTAATTCATTTTTTATTATATAGCTCCCGATGGATCGGAAAAGTAAAGTAAGTATCATATAGATAAGCTTACTGTATAAAAATACATTATTTTATTGACAGATTAAACTGTAGCGCTTCTATTATTTCCAGCTGTTTTAGCCAGGGTGAAGAGGAAAGGGTTATTTTAAAGATCTGTTTATTGTGATATTTTGAAACGTGTGATGTGGCCATGAGTTTTCCTGCTGCAGTCAAACCTCTTTATACTGCTTCCCTCGTTATATTGCCAGCCCTGCTTACCGCCAAGTTTTGCCAGGCCAATGTACAAAAAGGAACGCCTATAAACACAATATTTGCGTCTTTACACCGCCATTCGCCAATGGTCTGAGTTTTATGGTCCTTATCAGTTTAATATTAAATTTGCCCTGACATACCACCTACGAATTGGCTTCTAGAATGAGAAGCACACTCTATACGCTGTGCACAGCATCCACTCAGTGGTGGCTTGATAATTTCTTTCCCACACACGTCTCTGCAAGTTCGGCCAGTTTCTGGTGTTTGCTGCCGATGCCCTTGATTTGCGCTGATTATGATAATGCTAATATTTGTAGGCTTTGTCTATATTATAAAAAAGATTTTTGTAATTATAAAGTCACCTGGAGAAACTTCAAAGGAACTGCGCCACCTCAGCTTGTTGGCAAAATATATGGTGTCGCCAGGTATCGGCCCGATAACCAAAAGGCTGGTGGGCGCCTGTTAGACTTTTTATATTGTGAGGACTCGCTCTCAAGTCTACTTTAAACGTCTTTGGAGGAGGCAAAAGGACTGACGAGTGTATCAGATTTGAAAAAAGCTGTCCGTCTACAGGGTCCTTGACATGTATAGCCTGACCTCTAATTCGGCCAAAAATTTCAGTTTGAATTTACGTTAGGTTTACTGGAGCTGTACATGTAATTAATTGCTACTTGTTTTTCCCTTGGGCATGGCAATCAGTCAATCAAGCAAGATAGATCTAGATGAGGTAGAACTGACCACAGTTTGTCTTTAGTCTCTACCAGTCTACCACCGGTACAGATGGCAGTTGGTGCTATTTCGTTATACTGCTGTACCACCAACTTCATGCCTATCCCAAGCTAGGCAGAAAACAGGGTTTGATTGTATTTGATTTTGAAATTGTTTTTATGGGCAAACTAGTGTTTGACAATGCTTTTTGTAATTTGTTATGGTTATGACTTTTCGGTTTGATATGATGTTTCTGTGTATGTGTACGAGTAATTTTATTTGTCTTTTTTTTGGGTCTTTTTAAAAATTGTAGCTTGTTCCCTTTCGTCTGTGCACATTAAAAAAGCTCTAGCTCATTTATTAATCAACTAATGCGTATGTAAATTTACTTGGCACTTCTGTAGGTCAGGAACCAAACGCAAATATATTTTTTTTAAATCTTGATCCAGTACCGGGTAGGCCTTCCGGTAATAAAAAAGGGAACTTTATTTAGGTCCTATATTAAACACTGCTATAGATGATTTACAGTAACTTGACCCACAAAGTGCTCATTCTGAGACAGCGGCAACATCTGCCCGTATATTCAGTATAAACTTGTAGATTTCCTCCAAAGACTGTCCAGACACCTCCCCGTGAGTTTTGAAAAGTACTCACCCGTCTATTGGACTGTTTCTTAGACGTGCATTAAAATGTGTCGATGACAATAGGTCAACTTTTTTATTTTTTAGTTGTTTTTTTTGGGGGGGGGGGGGGGGACCGGCTTTAAGGTAACATCAAAGAAAATGTGTAAGAACCTTAGTTAGCAGTTACCCTCATAATGGGCTTTTAAATTCTGTTGGTCATCCAAATGACAGATGCGCATGTTAAAACCTGAGAAGATTAAACAGAGTGACTTGTTTTTATCTTGTTTTAATCAGAGACAGGCGAAAGTGAACAAGTAATAGTCATTGTTGCTGTGTTAATGGTCTCTGTGGTCTGGGCCACAGTGAACTCACATAGAATAATTATCCATTATTGCTATTACCATTGCTACTATTATAATATGTAGTTTTTATTGTTTAGTTAGCCTGTTAATGTTATGCTCAGTTGAGAGGAAGGTTGTAGGAGAGGATGACCTACAATGTATGTTAGTTTTGTCTCAAACCAAACCACACAGCTTCTTGACACTGCTATATTCGGCAATCTCGGATCATTTGCAAATGTTCAGTTTCTTTACTTTTTTTATTTTTCCCATTGGTAGTAATTTTACTATCACCCCTCTGTCCATGTTGTAGCCCATGGCTAGGACCAGCTTGGTTATTATTTTAATGCTTACATTACTTCCTGTTAAAACTTATATTAAAGGTGAATGCATATTAATATATATACATATAATATACTGTTTTTACACTCACTTTTATTATTTAACTACTTGTGACATTAAAATACTACCATCTTTATTTTGCTCTGCTGCTAGTGCTAGTGTGAAAGAAGAGTGGCAGTGTGTGTTGTGATGGGGGCATAGATGGAAAGTGTGCTGTTTTTGAGAATTTTATGACCTATTAAATCCAACATTTCGGAGGTTTAGCAGATCAAAAGTGTATTGTAACTGTGGTTTATAGAGGCCTGTCAGGTCACGCTGTTGTCATTTATTAAACTTTGAGCTGTAGTATGTGTGAATAATGTGACAACAGTTGAATAATTTATTTAAGTAGTTGTTATGATAATGTATTGAAAAGTGTTGAATATCATATTCCTAGCTCATTGTTGCACCATTTTTTCCCATGATGCATTGAAATTTTCTTTATTGAATCGTATTTAAGAACAAACGGTTAATTTTATTGTCTTGACACTTTAAAGAATTATGTGTGTCCTCCCACCCCACAGTGGCATGTTTTTATCTTAACTCCTTCTCTTACCACTGCACCACTTTATTATATTGCTGACTCATGTGATCCTGGTTGTTTACACTGTCCTGAAAGACACTCAGCCATCAATTGCCAACCTGCTCACAGGAATTGAAAATGCCAGTACTTACCATGTATGCATATATATGAAAGAGAGAGAGAGAGCTAGCTATGTAGCAATAGTAGGACTATATGATATTGTTGTATGTATTTTCTGAAAGCCAACTTGTATGGGATAGAGCACTATATAAATGCAATCTACTATTTTTACTATTATTACATTGTAGGGCCTACTTGTAACTGTTAGAACGCAATTAGCACATGTAGACCCACTCTTATTTTTTAAAGTTCAAATATACTCTGCTTTTGAGTAAGTATAGGTTATTATGTAGTTGCGAGAATTATAAAACCTCTACTAAAAACAAAACAGTAAATATAGGTTATACACGCAGCGAGATTTGCAGAATGTGAAAATATTTTCGTTATGTACGAGTTTTGCTATACAAAATACAGGCTATATCAAGGGAGATAAACAAACAAAAAATACCTGGCGAATGGGTCAAAATTTTACATTATAAGTACCCCTTACGCCACGACAGCTTGGGTTCATAGTCACTTTTGTTGTATTTACCTCCACTTTGCGTGTCGTTCACGAAGTGTCTCGAGTTCTCGTGCACAATCCAACTCCACGACCGTTAGTGACTTTGTTCTTCCCTAGCCAGGAGTTACCAGGTTGTCAGTAAGAAAACCAACACAAAGGCTAATGCTGCATCTCTCCCCTTGAAGTAAGAGACGTTTATACACAGCTTTGTACATTTCACAAACTCTGTTGTTTGCATTTAACTCGAAACGACGAATTAACTTAGAAATAAAAATAAATGTTCGAGGACAATGTCAGCTCCCCTGAGGTGTCCTTTTATTCTCTTGAGTATTCTACAAATCAAGCCTCTGAGGTGTCCTTTTATTCTCTTGAGTATTCTACAAATCAAGCCTCTGAGGTGTCCTTTTATTCTCTTGAGTATTCTACAAATCAAGCCTCTGAGGTGTCCTTTTATTCTCTTGAGTATTCTACAAATCAAGTCTCTGAGGTGTCCTTTTATTCTCTTGAGTATTCTACAAATCAAGTCTCTGAGGTGTCCTTTTATTCTCTTGAGTATTCTACAAATCAAGCCTCTGAGGTCGCTTAATGGTTCTCCTGAAGCTACTAGTGTGGGTGGCAGCTTGAGGAGTTGTTGTATAGGTGGGGACCTGATGGGAATCCCTGAAGCATCTTGTTCGAGGTCCTGCATGGGTCTTTGTTCACCCTGAGGTGTAGCTGGTAGGCCTACATGTGTTAAAGACATTCTGTTTCTGCGCAGTGGCGAGTTGCTGTTTTCAGGCTGAATGGTGTACGTTCTCGGGTTGTGATGATGTTTGATTACCCTTGCGTTCCGTCCCATATCTTTGATAAAGATGTTATCTCCAGGATTCAGTTCAGGTTGTGGTTTCCTGGCGAGGTGGCGTGTGTAGTATCTATTATCTGTTTCCTGGAAAAGTTTTGAGTTGAAAGATTGCGGGTGTAGTTTTTGTTCCATGATGGGCAACTTTGTTTGCAATTTCCTACCCATCAATAGCTCACTAGGTGAAAACTTGTTGAGAAGAGGAGTGCGATGTAGGGGTCATCGGCTTTTTCCACAGATTCTTTAGTGTTTTGATTGCTTGCTCAATCATGCAGTTGCTTTGATGATAGAGGGGTGAGCTGGTTACATGAGTAAAAATCCATAATTGAGCGCAAATTTCTGAACTTTGTGCTTGCAAACTGTGGACCATCGTCGGGCACTATGACATCAGGTATTCCATGTGTCTCTATAATGGACTTCAGCTTGTTGATCACCTGTGCACTAGATAGCTCTTCCAGTATTCTTATTTCTGGCCATCTGGAGTAGTAGTCTGTTATAGTCAGGTAAGTTTTGCCTTTGTTTGAGGTAGAACAGATCTGTGCCACATGTGACCAGGGTCGGTTCGGGAAGGAGGACGGAAGAAGTGATTCCCTGACATCCTGTCTCAGTCTGGCGCAGACCAGGCATTTCTTGATCATGTCTTCAATTATACTAGAGATATTAGGCCACCAAACTCTGTTGTGTGCTAGTGCCCTGCATTTGGTTACTCCAAGATGACTTTCTTGAAGTCGGTTGGAAGTGTCCATTCTTAACTCTCGATTCTATCATTGAAGAGAAGGAGGTCATTCACGATTGTGAAGTGTTGCTGGTTGGACCAATATTGTTTAAGAAGTGTGTTGGCAGGCATGCATATATGCTGGCCATCCGGTGTTGCAGTATTTGCGGATTTCAGAGATTTCTGGATCAGCCTTTTGATGGACTATTATTTCTGCTATATTCGTGAGGTTGCTAGAAGTGAGTTGAAGATTTGCTCCTTCATGGCTTGAACCTCTTCGTGGAAGCAGATGTCTGCCTCACTGGGATCATTTAACAGCTCTTGATATAGAGTCTGTAATCTGGGTTTTGCCTGAGACGTGAACAACTTCTTTATTGAATGGAGCAAGTCGGAGGCGAAATCGTAGGATGCGAGGTGGTAACTTGGAAAGCTCTTTAAACATTAAAGGAGTAATGAGGGGCTTGTGATCAGTCTCTATTGTGTACTGAAGACCTTGAACGTATTCACTGAGTCTTTCGGACGCCCAAGTCACTGCCAAGGTTTCTTTCTCGATGACTGCATACCGCCTTTCAGTCTCTTTCAAAGTGCGGGATATGTAACACACAGGCTTTATAGAACCGTCAGTCTGGACTTGAATAAGGACAGCTCCTAATCCTTCTTCGATGCGTCAGCTGCAATGATGGTTTTCAGTTCCGAAGAGTAGTGTGCTAGCACAGGGGCTGTTGTAAGTTGTTCTTTGATGGTTTTGGAAGCATTCACCTGTGGCTGCTCCCATGTCCATTCATTGTTCTTCTTGAGAAGCGAGCACAGAGGGTTTGTCATTGATGCTAAACTCAGGGCGAACTTCGTGATTTGGTTGATCATGCATAGAAATCTTTGTAATTCTGTGGCATTTTGAGGTTGTGGAAGATTCACGATGGCTTTGACCTTGGGACAGCTGTTTGATAACCTGACTGAGCCACAGCAGAGATGTGCTGATGGAGCAATTTTCCTTTCTACAGCCGCCAATGTTGTCCTCGGCCCTCTCACTGCCCGCCAAGTTAACCAGATTCAAAGCTGTGTATGTTTCTTACTTCAAGGGGAGAAATGTAGCATTAGCCTATGTGTTGGCTTTCTTTGAAGAGGTCAGTGCGAGCCTGGCGGTCGTTAATTCCTGTAACAATCTTGTCTCGTATTAAAGAATCTCTACAATCATTGCAAAAATTGCAGCTCTTGGCCAGACGTCAAAATCTGCAAGAAATGTATGAAAATGAAAGGTTTCATCTTGCGCTTGATTTCTTTTGTTAAATTTGAACCGTTCGTATGTTTCGTTCTGTTCTCCTATGACAAATTCATCAAATTTATGGATGATCTCTTGAAGTGTACGTCCGTCTTCACTTGTGAATTGAAACCTATTGTGGATTCTGAGAGCTTCATCATCGAGGCTATGAAAAAATAGGGCTACCTGGAACTTGTGTTCTAAGCATTCCAGGCATGATAGAAGGGCATATGTATTCCATCTTTGAATAATTTTCAGTTCTCCACTGGATTAGACCCCTGGACCAGTTTGTCTGGGGTGGTCTGATGCCTGCAATTATCAGTTTTGTGGTTTCATCTGCAGCAGCTCTGGTTTCTGGAGATATAGATATATCATTTCATGACAAGCTTACCTTGCCATAAATGTACCGTCCTTTGGAAATATGCACAGTCCTTAAGAAATATGCACCGTCCGTTTGAATGTGTTTAGAAAATCACCGCCTCCACCATATTGTATTTACCTCCACTTGGCGTGTCGTTCACGAAGTGTCTTGAGTTCCCGTGCGCAATCCAACTCCACGACCGCTAGTGACGTTCTTCCCTAGCCAGGAGTTGTCAGTAAGAAAGCCAACCCATAGGCTAATGCTACAACTTTTGTTTGTAGATCTGGGTTTTTACATTGATTTTTTAACTACTCATACCCTCACTATTTCTTGACCGAAGAACCTTTCTGCTTCTTTCACTCTGCCATGGTCCACTCTCTACTACAGCTTCACCTAAACCAGACCCATTCACATGCAACTGATTTCTGAACTGTGAAGCTTAGATCCTTTGTTGAACGCTTCTTTGCCGTATTTGCAATAAACACGTCTTTGGGCTCACCATTGCCCTCGGCCTATAATAGGTTGGCCTACACTCATTATAATAATATACCGTGCCTTCTGTCTCTTGCATCACAACTACTTTGATAAACAAAATTTGTGGTTGTGTTTAATTAGATCTTTCTTCGCCCATGTTGGATCTTTTTGCTATTTTCGAATTGTTTACGCTATGCGTATATTTTGATTACAAAGATCCGAAAAAAATTGGGCCCTAAAAATCTATTCATTATCTGGTTTTTCGCTGTGATGTATGTGTACACCATTGGGGTGCTAGACTGCCTTAATTAGAAAATGATTTTTCTAGTTACATCTCAGAGAATGTAAAAGTCACATTTAATCTTTTGGAGTCTATTTTTGCTCGTAGATTTGTTTTTGGGTCGTTTGCTAAAACCATAATACCGGTACTATTTTAATTTTAAGGGAAAGAGTGTGTGTGGGGGGGGGGGATAGGGGTTAGGTTATTAAACTAAGAAGACCATTCTTATGTACATGTTTGTTTTCTAAAGTTTTTTTGTCCACCGACCTGCCTTTACAAATCCTTGTATTGTATTGGTGACTTTATGGCCTTTATCTTGTCCATCAAGCTGATCAAGTACTTACTGTTACAACTACACATTATTCAATGATTTTCAGAATCATATCATGTAGCCTACCTTTCCCCTTGCTGTTTCTGTCTGTTTCTCTAGATCTATTTCCTTGCACTAAATGAATGACTGTTTCTGCATAATTATTGGTGTGTTTCTCCTTACTCAAACAAATTTGGTCCAATATAGTTGAATGTCTTTGTCCATTTTTGATGAGATAATGGAAATGCAATGAGATAGAAAGTTGTCATGTCCTACTTATACTTATACAGCTGAATTTTATTTCATTTTGCTAATTATACTATCAGTTGATTGAATTGTGCCAGTGATGGATCCGATGAGAGGTCCTACTTCTTTTCTTTACCCTCTGTTTTTCCTGTCTGTTTTGCTTTTTCCCTGTGTCAAATCTTGCAAATTATAATGTTAAAAAGAGCATTAAATAATTATGCACCTTTTTTTTCTTGTGGAAAAAATGTGAGTTCTTTACTGTTGCCTTCTTCTGCATATTTTTAAGATGGAAGTGGCTTCTTAGAGAATCTCTGCTTTTGCATTAGTTTTTATGATTCAGATTAGTTTGCTTCTCTGTTCATCTGCACAAATTGCTAAACTAATTGCAGCTGTATTTATCTTGCCACTTGTCAAAGCCAGCCTTTTGCATAATGGTTTATGTTTTTATCTACGATAAAGAATGATTTTAGAAGAATGAAAACTGCAAGACAAAATACTTAATTGATCATCCTTTGGAAGAAGTGGGCTGTGTGCTTCTGCTGCCTAAAATAAAATATGTCATCATATCAGTACACCACGTTCTTCCTCTCTCTTACACACTCACTTCCTCATTACTAAAACTAACACATAGATCTAACATTAGAAAATCACCACCCAAAAGTTGTAGAAAAGCCTTGACTCAAGAAAATGTATGACATACACGGGTCATATTATACAGTATATCACAGGTAGCTCGAATTCATGGGGACCGGCCTCGGTAGTTCGAGGGATATCTTACAAAGATAAAGAGGAAGAGAAAAAACGGGACCGCAGGCACAGTTCAGCGGATGCGTGATTTCGAGTCTTCTGTGTTCAACCTATACATGTTAAACTGTATAGTATACACAAACATTACTATGAGAGTGAAATACTTGGATGGCATTGTGTTCACAATATCTGGTCAACACTGATTTTGTTTGTATTTATTGTACTCAAAATTTATCCTATAGCTATCCCTACTTATTCTTACTCTAGTATAGTATTAAAGTAGAAAGCTTTGTGATGAAATGGGTCGTCTACATTAATTTCAAACCTTTGCTTTTTTTTCTCTTTAGGATGGGAATAGGATCTTTTGTATACTGCATTAATAGAATATTTTGTTGCAAAACCTGACAGGTTCAATAATTAATTTATAAATACTGATTTGATTAAGTTTTTGTTCTTTAACAACAAACTGACTGAATAAAATAATAAGTTTTATCCACACTTTTTGCTTAATGGATATGGAGCCATTTGTCACAGCCCTCTTCATACCATTGCCTTTGTGATAAGACTGGGTAACCCCAGCAGAGTAAATTTCACTGGAGAAACAAAAATTTGGCTTCATTAGGTTGCGACATGGAGATCGGCGGGTCGTTCTGCCAGGGCCTTTGAGCCCCAAAATAAAAACTAAAAAGTCATAATGGCAGTCCTCCAATGGAATGCCGGCGGAATCCGACCTTCCATAGCAGAATTGCAACACTTACAGGGCACACTGTGCCCACGTGTGGCCTGTATACAAGAAACAAAATTCGCCCCGGCTTCAACCATAGACTTAAGAGGATTTACTGCGTATCATCACATTCACACGGAGAACCAGATTGCTTCCGGTGGTACCACCATCTACACCGACAACAACACACTCCACTGACAGGTACATCTTAAGACGACCCTCCAGGCTATTGCCGTACGGGTCACCCTGCACAGACCAATCACGATCTGCTCAGTTTATATCCCACCAAATGACCCCCTCAAAATAACCCAACTAAATGACTTAAAGGCTCAGCTTCCAAAACCCTTTATTTTGCTAGGTGATTTCAATGCCCACAGCCCCCTTTGGGGAGACAAACCTACAGACCAGAAAGGAAAATAAATAATAGAAAACTTTTTATTTCAAAATAACATCTGTCTGTTAAATGATTGATCCCCAACTTACAGAAACAGAGCCACTTATGGCACTTCATCCCTTGACCTCACCTTTTGTACCCCTGACCTAGTCCCAGATCTTGAGTGGTCTGTGCTGGATGACCGTACGGACCATTTCCTAATTCTTCTAAAAAAACAATAGCCTCCAAAACGACCCGATCCCAGAACGTTTCAACTTTAAAAAAGCAGACTGGGACGGGTTTGCCAATCAATGTTCCCAGATTGTTAATCCCAATTTCGACCTCAACTACAATAAATTCCACGAAAAGCTTTTAGAAATATGCCACGAACACATACCAAAAACAAAAACAAAACCCCGGAGGAACAAGGTCTGGTTCTCTTGGGAATGTGAGGATGCAGTAAAGAAAAAGAAGGCAGCGTATCGAAAAGCCGTCAACAACACCACCACAGAAAACAAGATAAACTATTCAAAGGCTCGAGGTGTGGCACGTAGATGCCTCAGGGAGAGTAAAAGACAATCATTAAAAAAATACACTCCAAAATCAACAGCCAGACACCACTCAACCAAGTTTTCAAAATTGCTAAAAAATTCTTAGGTAGACACACAGACACCATTCGGCACGTCCAGAGGCCGGGTGGAACCACAGCTGAAACACAAGTAGACATCGCAAACACAATAGCTACATCTCTCGCAAAAAAACCTCATCCCAAGCAAACTACAACACCACTTTTCAAAACATCAAAACTAACAGAGAACAACAACACCTAAACTTCCTCCCAAACAACACTGAAACCTACAACGCAGACTTCACAATAGACGAACTGACATCGTGCATCTCGGACCTGGGCAATGCAGCCCCAGGACCGGATGACATCCACAACCAGATCATTAGACACTTACCCTCAGAAACACTCACACTCCTACTATACATATACAACGACATGTGGCGGTCGCACTCCTTTCCGGAGTCTTGGCGTCTCGCCACTGTCATTCCAATACCCAAACCAAACAAGGACCACACACACCCATCCAATTACAGACCTATAGCACTAACGAGCTGTCTCTGCAAACTCATTGAAAAAAAAATGATCCACAGGCGACTCATGTGGTTTCTTGAAACGACGGGCTCGCTGAGCGGTCTCCGGTGTGGATTCAGGAAAACTCGATCCACTCTGGATCACCTGGTTTACCTGGAGACCTTATACGCAAGACGTTCGCTGAAGGAGGCCACATGATCGCCATCTTCTTCGACCTAGAAAAAGCCTTCGACACAACCTGGAAGTACGGCATTCTTCGAGACCTGCACGCACTTGGCATACGCGGTCACCTACCTGCCTTCATCGGCAACTTCCTGAAGAACCGTTCCTTCCAGGTTCGTGTCGGATCCTCCCTTTCAGACCCCCACCAACAGGAGGAAGGAGTCCCCCAGGGGAGCATCCTTTCTCCTCTCCTATTCGAAATTAAAATAAATTCCATAGTAAAAAAACAACCCAAAACAGCATAGACAGCTCGTTATACGTTGACGACTTTTTCATATGCTGCCGTTCGAAAAACCCTCTTCTGAGATCTATGGAAAGGGAGCTGCAAACGCAGCTGCACAAACTCGAAGAGTGGGCAAACAATAACGGTTTCAAGTTCTCCCCTTCAAAGACGGTTGCAGTACACTTCTGCCGAACAGGCAGACGTGGGCTGCAGCCGGATTTGACACTATACGGGGAAAGGACTCCCGTCCAGGACCAAGCTCGTTTCCTCGGCGTCATTTTCGACAAAAAACTCACATTCATACCACACATCAAAGACCTTCGTGTGAGGTGCCAGAAAGCGCTAAACGCTTTGAAAATTCTATCGCATCCGGAGTGGGGCGGGGACTCAAAACACCTTCTCCACTTGTACATCTCCCTTGTCTGGTCCAGGCTTGACTACGGCTGTCAAGTCTACGGATCGGCAAAACCACACATCTTAAAAATGCTAGACCCAGTACAAAACCAAGGACTCCGCCTCGCTCTGGGGGCTTTCCACACTTCTCCGGTGGAGAGCCTCCAGGCCGAGGCCAACATACCACCACTCTCACTCAGACGCACACAACTCTCACTACAATACACAATTAAACAGAGCTCAACACCGGAAAATCCAGCGCTACAACTGCATTTTTAAAACAAACCCAGAAACCATAAACAAATTCCAAAACAACGAAAAACTCATCAAACCCTTCGGCCTCAGAATCCTTGAGGACCTCAAAAACTTACACTTTTCCAAACAAGACATCCAACAAATTCTTTTCCCCGACCTCCCTCCGTGGCACCTCACCAAGGCAAAAGTAGATTTACAGCTGACCACATACAACAAAGAAAGCACAACCACCAAAACTTTTAAAGCAGAATACAAAAAACTAATAGATAAATACCCCGGTGCGGAGCTCATCTTCACAGATGGCTCCAAAAAAGACAACGAAGTGGGCGCCGCAGTCCTATCTTCCAACAGTACACACCAGAGGAGACTCCATCCTGAAGCCTCCATTTTCTCTGCGGGGGCCACTGCCATTGACATGGCACTGGACTCCGTAGAAAACTCTCCTAACAAATCTTTCCTTTTCCTTTCTGACTCCTCTGTCTTGCATCACCTCACTCACAAACTACACACTCCTACATCCAAAAATAGTTAGGCTACAACAGAAAATTCATACACTATCCGAAACAGGACAAAAAATCATGTTCGCATGGATGGATACCTAGCCATATGGGCATCCGAGGAAACGAGCAGGTAGACGACCTGGCGAAGAAAGCCTCATCCCTTCTGCTGGGATCAACGACAAACACTCTTCCTCAGACTGACTTTAGAAATAAAGTCAAAAAGTACACATCCAGTCTGTGGGAGAGCCACTGGGAAAAACAGAAAAGCAATAAACTATATATGTTATAAAACCCAAACTAGAACAGCGAAATCCTTGGGACCTCTCCAGAAGAGACGAAGTCATTTTTACTCGATTGCGCATCGGACACAAGACCCTGACCCACAAATACCTCCTACAGAGAGATGAGAAGCCGTTCTGTGTCGGATGCGACACAGATTTTACCGTTAGACACATCTTAACCGAATGTCTAGATTTTGGAGAGATCCGAAGGAAATATTACAAATGCAAGAAATTGCAATACATTTTTTCCGTCGTTGGTCCCAGCAGAATTTTGGATTTTATTAAGGCCATTGGCCTTTATGGCAAATTGTAAAGTGAAATTGGTACTATTTAAAATGTGTATGTTAACTAGAAAATTTGTTTTAGATCGAAATATATATATATTTACACTGATTTTTAAACATTTTAACATTTAAAGTCTAAAAGCTAACCAACCGTGCAGTGAACTGTTGCGAATGCAAACAACTTGTGTTTCGTGCGCTCATATGACCGTATGCAGTTGCGAGCGCCGTAAAACCCTGTACTACTAACTAACTAACATTTTAGAGGCATTTCAAAAATAAAGAATGCGACCCGTCTTCGACTGAGCATGTAAAATGAATGATTTACAATTGATTTGTCAGATAAAGATTCTGTGGGTTAGCCGGTCTTATCACATGGGTGACAATTGTCTTGTTACATCAAAAGTAGGCTACTGCTGTGAACAACCAACAGGGTATTCTAGAATTATTGACTACCTCCATAATTAGGTACAATGAATTGTTGTTGATGATGGTGTTATTGAATTGATCCAACAAAATGCTGACTTATAAATCTGTCCTGATCCATGTTATGATCATAACTTGCTCCAGGTGTATGTGAGTAGTTAAATGGTGCCAACCTGTGTCTGTGGTGTAATGATTAGGACCTTGGCTGTGGCACTGCACCCAGAAAATAAAAAGGGTTGACTCCCAAGTGAGGGACAATTTTTTATCGAGTATCTCCTCATGTCTCCCGTGATTCTGACCTGCTCAGCCTGGGTTGCGACAGGCCTGATAAAGGATATAAATTGTGTTGATTGAGATGTAAAACAGTTTTGAAAAAAATTGTGAAAGAAATAATTTCGTGTTAAAATAGACTTGTTTTGTTCAAGCTAGGGTTTTATTCAGAGGGTTTGGTGTCTCAACTATACACCAGCGGGAGATGCAACCTCTCTTATCATGAAATAACACAAATAGACATGGTTGTGTAGGAGGGGCACACTCCTTACCTTGTGTCTTGTGTGTAGTTGTCGACTTGAAATGGCCGACAAGTTGGACGGCTAGTTAGCTCCTTGTGAGTCCCGCTCAGCCCCCCGGTCCGACAAGAGTTGTCTTGTCGGTGCGATGTCATGGTTTACATGTAGGCCCGTGGCCGCTACAGTTGTATTATTACTGGGACTGATTTATAATGGTGCTTCATCTATGCCTTCTTCTCTCCATCTTAAATCCATCTTCTTTACACACCTTGTATGCAATAATATTCATAGATTGTTTTCTCCGATCTCACCCTCTTTAATTGAATGAGTTCATTTATTTATTCCTCTATCTTACTTACATACTCTTGCCCTTGACTTTATAAACGTTTCGGATATTTAGACAGTATTGAAATTGAACCTTCTATAAAAACCTAACAATGTTTATAATGCTTTAATTTGTATGACTCTTTTGTTTGGTACATGTGCATGTATTCCTCAATTCATGAAACAGCTTCTTTTGCCTCTAAGAGATGGGATTCCTGGTTGGTGATTGGTTTGAGATCAGATAATCACAATTAAATATTATGAAGGGAACATGTTTATCGATGTATCTTGTGGTTTCAGCTAAATAAAATTATACGGTTTCTAATTCACCGAATGTATTTTCTGTGTTAATTTTTTTTTCATAATCATCCATTTATTCGTTACTAGCAAAGACAGGGGGAAAGAGAGAGACAGACAGACAGACAGACAGACAGACAGACAGACAGACAGACAGACAGACAGA